CAAGCAAGTACATAAACCTTGCACGCGAATAACTGGAGCTCTGCGAGTTGGCGAACTGAGCTGGAATTGTAAGGATTGCCAAGATAAAACGATTACAACGGTTGTTGCCCTCCTCGAAAATCTCAGTGCAAAAATGTACACACCGAAAAACTGAATAAACTTGAAGAAGAAGTGATACATCTGAAAGCAAGCAAGGTTTCAACTCCCAATCAGACGTACAAAGCCGCATTGATAAATTCTGAATAGGACGCTCTGCAACTCGAAAAAGCACTGAAAACTATCAAGACAACTCGGAAAGAAGAGAAGGTTCCCGTAAACAAGATAGATCGGAATCCCGGAAGTCAGTGAAGGAAAAACAGAAAACATTAATGACTGGCTCAGACAAAGAGCAAACAACGATAAAAGGTGTGGTGGAAACCACCAACAAGAAGGCACCTATCTGTGAGTTGAATCAGCAAAGAAACTACTCTTGATGATCTCATTAGTTTGTGCTTCGAAAGGAGCAGAACCCGTGCTCAGTCGTTAAGTGAGTAAAATACAAACAGCAAAAGAAGTTTTCATCTGGTCTTCTCGAGCGACTTCACAACATTTATTGAAAATCCTGATTTCTGGCCTGCAAACGTATGTATCTCGCGGTACTTCCTAAACCAAGAGGCAAAGGACTGGCTGAAACTCCAACATAGACTGCCACCGAACGGACACACTAAAAATGGAAACAATAACTGACTTAAAACAATCAAGTTTGGACAAATTTAGTGTAGATCAATACGGTACAAATGTGAAGGTATAGCCATCTGGATTCCAATGGATGTTTTTCACATAATTTTTCAAATTGAAACTTGGCTGAGCTCAGATAATGAAACAGATTTTATTCTGAAACGCTGCACAAACAACTCGTTGTACTGTTTCAAGCACATAAATCGGTTAGCTAAAAGTGGAGACGGATTCGCTGTGATTACCAAAAAATCTTACGGCCGAGTTTGATTGACTCTGAAATTAACGAAGATTTTCAGAAAAGGACGATAACAAATAATGACATTTTAAAAAAACAAGATTTTTAACCTGCTACTACAGACCACCTCAGGGTGTCTTCAGAAACTTTGCAGAAAATTTTTTTGAAACATAATTATCGCAATCGTATTCAAATTCATACCATTACTCACCAGGTGATTCTAATGTACATTGGATTAATGATGATACTCGAAATGTTGAATTTCAACACCTGTTAAACGATCTATATCTTGAGCAATATAAAACTGTTCCAACACGCAAATCAGGAAATGTACTTGATCTTTTAATTGATCCTTATTCAGATGAAATTCATTGGGTATCCGTTTCTGAATTAATTAACTCTGATCATGAATTAGTTGAGTTTGAACTGGATTTCGTGAAGGATAAAACCGCAGTGAAAAAACAGTCTTTCAGAAACTGGAAAGACACTTATATAGAAACGCTTAAATTGGAAATCGAATTAACTCTGGATTTGAACATAGGATTGAATTACAGCACAAGCTCCAACTCTTTAACGCAGACATTTGGAACAGTGTTCAAAGACAACAGTGTTGATATTTTTGTACCAGAGAGAATCAGGATGAAACAAATGACGGAATGTGTTTTCTTCGATAAAAAGCAGTTTGAAAAACGGAAACGAAAATTCGGGAGAAAATACAAAAAGTCCAAGAACCATCAAGATCTTGTTTTGCCAGAAAACAAATTTTTCATTGCAAGGTACTATATACGCAGGAAAAAAAGGATTATTTTATAAATGAACTTAGTAGACGAAATCAAGATAAAAATAAGTTCAAAGCGAGACTTGAAGCTTGATGCGAAAGAACACGCAGATGCATTCCATAATATTCTTCAAGAGACAATTCAGCCAATTGTGATAAAAATAAGTTCAAAGCGCTGAATGATTTGCTAGGAAAAAAATTATGGCATTCCAGACCTGAAGCTTGATGCGAAAGAACTCGCAGATGCATTCCATAATATTCTTCAAGAGAAAATTCGGCCAATTGTATCATCTTTTGAAATTGAAGATCAAGATTTTGATCGAAATCAAGCACACTCGTTTATTACTCTTGACAAGTTAGAAATGCCTTCCTACGATGATTTCTGTAAGATGATAAATGAGATATCTTCGCAACCTCTCAGATGACATCACAAACACGATTAGAATTGAAGAGTTATCTATCAGCTGGATCAAACCATTGTTTTTAATTGCTAGCATAATCTTGGATGAGAGTGTGTTTCCAAATAATCTGAAAGAAGAAATTATCGTTCCTCAGCTGAAAAACCGAAAATTGAAAATAAACAACCTGAATTCCTACCTTCCTGTAACGAATATTAAATTCTTCTCAAAACGGATCGAAAAGATTAATTTAAATGACTAAATTGAGCATATAGAGTCTAACAACTTACTTGATCCAAATCAAATTGCATACATGAGAAGACATTCCACGGAAACAGTGATATTCAAAATGTCAAGTTCAATCAGTCTGACGTTTGAGAAAAGAAGTTCGATAATTAGAAAAGAAGTTCGATAATTTTGTTTTGTCTCGACTTATCGGCTGCTTTTGATACAATTGATCATGAACCTTTAATTATACATCAAAAGCACGTTAGAATAAGAGGAGATGCAGCAAAAATGATACAGTCATACCTTAGCGGAGGAAAGCAATCTGTTAAAGTTAACGGGGCTCGATTAGAACAACTTCTAGTTGAAACTGGTATACCACAGAGCTCTTTGTTGAGGCCGATAATATTTAATCTGTATCTTATTCCTCTGAAAGTCGAGTTATCAAACATATGCAGATGATACAGAAATCTTCTTCAGAATGTTCAACATATGGTCATGCAGAGATTGAAGAAAAAATGAACAGAATTACTGAATGGTTCGCAAGACAAAAATTGAAACTGAATGGAGGTAACCTGTAAAAGAGCTCAAGTCGCTTAGTGTTACTATTGATGAGTGTTTTAACTTGAAGAAACAAATTTCTTTATTACGCAGTGCATCGTTTGGCCAATGTAAGAAAAGATCCAAAGAAACAATCGAAAGCAACTCACACCCGCAAAATACGAGAAATAACCGACCGAGAAATAAATCAAAATAGAAACTCGAAAACGTATCAACTAACACCTCTGAGATAGAAGAGGACGATGAGCTGGAAATCGATAGTCAGAGGCTCATAACAGAGAAAGGAACTCGGGAGAGAATCGGGCACTTCCTACGAAAGGCAAATGAAAGTTGTGAACAGAGTCGTGCTAAGACAATGGAATAAGGAGGCAAACTGAGAGGAGTGACAATAGCCTACTGGATGCGCTCGGTCCGAGAGACCGAAGAAGAGGACAACCTAGAACAAGCCAACAAATACAGGAAACCTTGAAAATCGTTCATTATGAATAAAGTCAGATTTATCAAGATTGGAAAGAGAAGATGAGTCTCACAGGGAAAGGCGACATTAAACCCACGAAAACACAGGCACCTAAAGCTAAGGCGAAAACCTTTGAAAGTTGCTGGAGGTTTTGTAGGACAGCCACCGGAAGATAACACCACGAAACCAACTCCCACATGGTAATACATATGAAGTTCACATGCCTGAAGTGTCAGAACAGAACTAGTTAAAAAACAAAGAGAAAGCTTGTTCAAGACAAAAACTTTAAGGTGGACTTCCCCAGGTGTGGCAAAAACCAGTCTAAAGAAACATCAAGAGAATCACTGCCATGAAACAAGTATTAAGAGAAGAACCAGTTGAAAGAGAATATTAACAACCAAGCAATTTGCCACATGGGGATCCAAGATCAATATGTCAAGGCACCGAAAACTTACAAGGACATCACACCTACCAAGCCCGACAGGCGTAACGGCAAGGACAGAACAGAACACATAACGGAAGAGAGCTTCATAATATATCAACACTGGGTAACAACAACACTGGGCTAAATGCATCCTCCAGCCATTTAATGTTGGATAGATATTTATTTAGAAGATACTTTTTTTAATTGTTAAGCCAATCAAGGGCGGATTACGGGACACCCCTCGCTCGCGCTCTCTCTCTCTCTCTCTCTCTCTCTCTCTATCTCTCTCTCTCTCTCTCTCTCTCTCTCTCTATCTCTCTCTCTCTCTCTCTCTCTCTCTCTCTCTCTCTCTCTCTCTCTCTCTCTCTCTCTCAGGGATCAATCGTTTTCGGCCGGCCATATTGAAAATTTCTGTTAAGGCTGCAATAGACACATAATCGCCTTGATTTGACTTGAAGTATCGCACGCCAAAAAAAATCCCCAAAACGCCAATTTTTGTCTGCTCTTTAAAAAAATGCGTGTGGAAGAGCTCGGAAAATCATTTAGATTAACAAAATTTTTTTATACTATCCCTTGCGAAGATCTTAAATTTGCTAGAATACAGAAAAAATGTCAATTTCAGTTAGTTCAAATTCGAAGAAAACAAACAGAAACGACAGTTTATATGAAATTACAACTCTAGGAGAGATTGGACTCAAAAGTGTTATCTTCTCACAGCTACAACCTTGACGACCACGGCTTCTTCATGAGACGTATCTTGAATAGTCCCTCAGCTCCTTATTTCATGAGGATAATTGGAGTAACTACTGGGGAAGAACTGATGCTGTCATAGCCGCATTGTACTCTTGGAACCTTTGAGATATCCTAGTGGTGGAATTCAAGTATTTGTCTACACAGAGAGAAGAGCAGTCTGACTCTTTCTTGGATATCTTGCGACTTGTGAAGTCATTCATGCACTGTTTGAAGCATAACTGTGTCAGACGATTGTACGATTGGAGGTACTCCTGCATCACTTTAATCTCGACATCTTGCTGACTCATCAAACCTTGAGTGGCCATTGCTCATCTGAAACTAATACGCTGTCAAAATTCTCACTTAACCTTCTTTTTAAAACTTCTAGCCAGATACCTCAAACTTAACTGTCAATAAACCAAGCCTTTTGAGTACAGGAACGACCTTTAATCAGTCTCTCTTCTCCATAAAATATTTTTCCGAGTTTTATTTCGCTATTTATTTTGCGAAAATCAGAACAACAATTGTAATAGCAATTTATGTTAGTAATGATTCCCTATGTATTCCGTATATGATACTCATGGCTGATAATTGAGCATCACGCCACGACACTTACGATACGAAAGGTAGAACAAACACAACAGCCAAAACACTGCACTCATTGGAGGTTTATTGTTAAAAGCGAATTTATACAGAAAGAGGAATACGAACGAAACAACATATGGACATCTAGTTTAGAGCAGCGCGTTATGCTTCTGCAGTTTTGAAAAGGACGATCGTTTTTAAATTGAAATGGCATCCGATTGTAGTTTATCTTGGCGAATATGTTTGCGGCGTCCCATTGTAGTTTATGGTTGGCGAATAAGCTCGCGTCTGATGAGATATATTTTTGACTTTTTGTTACATTTTGCAGAGGCAGATGAGGATTGGGATGAAAGCGACAACTGAGCAGAAAATTGGCCAGAAAAAATTGCCCTCCTGGTCCGCGTACGGGTCCTCCACGATTGGTCCAGACCGTTTGTTGAATTTAGTCTTCTGCTTCTCTGAGGTAATGTCAGTATCCGCCTCTTCAAACGGATCCTTTCTTCTCTGCTGACTGTGAATGTCCTGGTCTGCAAACAGTGCAGGCAGCTTCGGCACGTCTTCGGGTCGACTGCGAGCAATGTAAAAGGCGTTCACTTTAGGATTGTCGTAATGGGTTTTGACAAACGTGATTTTGAGAACATTGTTGAACGTAGAAGCTTCGTTGATAACTACCAATTTCCCATTTCTGATGGTGAATGGGATGATTTCATCATGAGCTCGACCTAGGCCCACTTTATCGAAAATGTCCAAGTCTCTCACAACCATATGCTGGTCATTTAGAACTATGTTGAACACTTTCTGCTTAGAAGATGTGAAATAAACTTCAGCGAACTTCATAACCAGAACGAAGTCTCCCTCTTTCGGCATATTTACCTCATAAGAAAAAGAATTTGTATGATATCTCTCAGTTTGATACAAGATTGCGTCGTTGCGAGATACTCGACCTATTGATAATGCTTTTCCAAAGTCAGAGGGAGTTCCTATGCGAAGCGGGTCTTCCATGTACTGGATTCCGTTCTCGTCTATGTGGTAGTGACCTCCAGCGTTGACTGCCCAGATAATTTCCAGGGCATGCGTGGATGCTACCAGAGATAGGAGGGTGAAGAAGACTAAGGATAAGGGACATGATGTAAGCAGGACAGTAAACAGACAGTTCAGTATCTGCACAGAAACTGGTTTGTTGGAACGCATTCTGATTGCTTCTGAGCTTCTCATAAGCAGACCTGAAAACCAGAGTAACACTCCTTACATACTCACAGTAGATTTACACTCAGGCAGAGGATTTAGGCAAATAAGAAAAACCTGTTTTCATAGCACGAGTTCACTTTTATCCAACCTAATGGACTACGCGGTATGGACTACTCGATTCCCACTCTATAAGTTTCTTTTAGAATGTGGTCTGAATAAAAAACAGCAAGCATAATCTTTCCTCGCTTTCTACGAATGTCGGAACAAAAAAATCGATTTAGGTTGAATAAACAAAGTTGCATTATGACAAGCGACTGTGTATATAACATGGTAGTTGCTAACAATTTCACATTTTACACAGAGGAGACGCTGGGCTTCGCAAACACTTGCGCGAACACGAGACCAAAAGCAGCTCTATCAAGTTAAATAAGAAAAAAGTACAGATAAGCCTCGAATTATCAAGAACTCGGCTACGTGCAGGATTCGAATCTGCGAACTACTGCAATCAAGAGATTTTGAGTCTCACGCACTATCCCCTCAGCCACTCAAGCTTAACAACCGACAAACACTAGTCACGAATAGAGCAGCTACATATGTTAACAAAAATTTTGCAAGTAATAATAAGGAATATAACAAACTGAAAGCATACACACTAACTTTGCGTAACAAATCGCAAAGCATAAAACCACATTATGTATAAATTATGTAATTTCAAAAATTGCGAGATACATTGAGTTAGAAAATTTCTGAAACCTAGTTTTCATTATTGTGATGTTGTTTGAAACAAATAGCTTTTTTCGGTACATTTGATGAATTAAAAATGCATCAACTGTGTCAATTTATTACTATTCGAAAGTCAAAGCACATGCTATCAAAAATCTGTAAAGGTGCCCAGCCATTATTGGGGTGCCGCACCATAAAAGTGCCGCACCAATATTTGCGACTTAGGTTGGAAAAAAAAGAAGGTTTGTACTAATACACAAGTTTCGCAAGTGTAATCATGATTAGTTCAATAATGTATATAAAATTGTATAATTTACAAGTGCAGAAAGAAAATGCGTCAGAAGAAAGGCAGCAAGAAGAGGAAAATTTGGTTATTGTCGGCAAAAGTGCTGATTGATTTAAACTATCTAAAAAGAAGATTTGGTTTAAAAAGATTTCATGCGAAATCATCAAATTTCCCTCAAATTGGGTTAAATTAAAAGCAAAGACAGGATGCTATGCTTAGAAATTAACCATCATTGACATGTTCAATTTTGTTTTATGAAACCTAGATACAAAAGTTACCCTTAAAAAAGATTTTGACCAGACTGGTTTGATAATTAATTACGTACACCTCGGTTCGGTTATATCAAAATAAGCGTCGGTTCGGTTATATCAAAATAAGCGTCTAACATAACACAGCAAAATTTACGGAGGCGAAGCTGTGCATCGCAAACACTTGCGAGAACACGGCCAAAAATTAGCTCTATCAAGTGGAATAAGAAAAAGTAGAAGTAAGCCTCGAATTAGCAAAAACTCGGCTACGTGTCGGATTCGAATCTGCGACCTAGCAAAATTGAGTCTCACGCACTAACCACTTAGGCACGGATGCTTAAAATACCCAAAAACTATCCACGGATAACGCAGCTACATATGCTACAAAATTGCCAATTCGATGCAGCAAAAATAGCACCAAATACAAAAAGACACAATTTTGCATGTAATCAATTGGAAAGCATAAAGCCAAATTTTGCTATATACATTGAGTTGGAAATCGAGATTTTCATCATTGTACTGCTGTTGGAAACAAATAACTTTTATCGGTTCATGTGATGAATTACAAATGCATCAGCTGTGATAACTTTTTACTAATCAGATGTCACAGCACAATACTTTACTGCTACCGCAGCCTACCGATTCAAAAGTGCCATCAAAGTAGCACTTTTATTTGCAACTTGGATTGGGAAAAAAAGAAACTTCGTACTAATACACTTTGCTTCGCCAGTGTTAACACAGACCCAATGGTTTGACAGAGGCAAGGCGGAGTTTCGTACAACTTCCGATACAAGGCAGAAATAGCATGACAAGTTACCTGACAGAAAATGAGACATCAGCTCAAATATAATTCTATTGGTGCAAAAGCGCCGCCAGCACTTTTATTTGCGACATTGGTTGGAAAGAGTAAACTTTGAAATATGACTCAGCATCACTAGCTAGCTTTTATAAATATAAAAAACTTTTGCTATGTTCCAAAATCGAACCGACGATGTGAGATTACAAATCTCACCTCCTCGCATATGGGGCATGTCGCTCGAGAATCGTCAGATAATATCGACCAAACAGGTTGTATTAAATTGTAAAGGCTACGCAGCAAAACTGCCACTAAATAAACCTTTTTTGTGAGTTGGGTTATAAAAAAGTAGATGCGTAATAAAACATTACGCTCGCTAGCGCACGTTTGTGTAACAGGATAGAATCACCAATTCAACAAATTCTATTTGAAAAAAGCAAGGTAGTTCCGAACAATATATTAATTATCAAAGCCGATTTCCACCTTAAAGCAACATACGAAAACAACAATCAGTGATGCATTCAGCTAGCATAGCATTCATTATTTATTGATAGCACGTCATACACCAAACAGGTCAATGGTGCACGTTGATAGCTTTGATTCTCTTCTTGAGCTCATCACACTTCTGGATCTGGGCGATGAAGTACTCGCCATATTTAGCAGCCACTTTCGTATCGGCAATGTGAATCATGTCTCCGTCCACGTAGAAGTCAATGTCTGAGGCAATTTTGAACTGGCCATCAAGACTGGATGCTCCCCCACTCCATACCAAGTTCTTCATTTTATGCTTGAATGTCATAAGATGCGTCCTCAGTTCGGCCTCTGAGAGATTCATGAATCCTGCTAGCTTCTGGATGGATATACTGCTATAGAGCTTGAGGAAACTCCTGATTACGGCGATCTTAGACTGCTCGCGCACCTCGTCCATGAACACCTAAAAGGAAGCTAGTTGAGCCATTCCACACCAGTCAAAAGTTATAAGACTGACTGTCTCTTACAGCCGACGCCGCCCTCTTATGGTGCACAAACAATTCTCCAATGACCTTAGGCAAAAATGTTTAGCTGTTTTTACGGTGAGATCACAGATTTATAATGATTAGAGTAACAGCCATGTTGCATCAGAAAAGGTTTCGGGTCGCTCAAGGTAGAATGTCATCTTTAGTTCTCACCCTGGCCTGCAGGTTCAACATGTCCTTGTGATTGTCCTTCTTCTCATTGAAGTTGGGAAGAGTAGGTGAAATGAACTTTGGACATGCGAACAAAAACAGTTGTTCCATCTCGCCCAGAAAGTCCTCCTCAGCATTCTGGCCACCAGTACCTCCTCGCTGTAACTTCTGCATCCGATCCCCACTGCCCAGTTTGTCATTCATGCTTCTGGTCACGGACTCATCTATGGTCTGCGGGTGGAGAGCTAGACAGATCTGCAGCAGGTAGTACATCTGGTCCGTCTGCTTCTGAATCATGTCCTGCTGATAGGACCTGTAATTTGAAAAATTATCCAGAGTAAAACAGTTTGGAATTTCGTCTGAGACGTTTATCTTTCATTATGCTATTCAATTTACTATTACATCTAACGCTTTTTAAAAAATTATTCATGAATATAATTAGCTTACAACATAACCAACAGACATTTGGAAAAAAAATTCAACTAACTCAAAGATACCGAAAAACCAAAATGATTGGTTTTTCAAAACATTCATGAAAATTCTAATTGCAGAAAAAACATAGCCGGCAGACAAATGGAAAAGAGCCAATGAGCTCTTTGAATTTCCAGAACAATATATGATTGACACGTTTTTGGTTAAGATGAAACCTTAAAATTTACAGCTCTTTGAATTTCCAGAACAATATATGATTGACACGTTTTTGGTTAAAATGACACCAAATTGTGAAAACTGAATCAAGGGATAGTTTTTTCAGTCCATTACCCTGACACTTATGCTCTTCGATATTGGAGTATGCTTTCCTTTAAACAAGAAAATGATCTGAACTTAAGAAAAACATAGCCAACTGAAAATTGGAAAAGAGTAATGAGCGCAAGGAAACTAAAAAAAACCTTCAAACTTCGAAAAAAAAATAGAAGACCTTACAGCTCTTTGAAATTGTAGAACAATTTATTAGGGACTTTTTTGTTAAAATTAACCCAATTTGAGAAAACTGGATCAATAGGTAAAACTTTTACTTCGCTGGGAAATCTGACAATTGATTTCCATTGTCGAAATTAGAAGTCGATCACGTTTTCAGAAGTCAATCACGAAGTCGATCAATTTGGGAAAACTGGATCAATAGGTAAAACTTATACTTCGCTGGGAAATCTGATAAATAATTTCATTTTCGAAATTAGATGGCGATCACGTTTTTCGACATTTTGCCTTTCGATAGAGAAATTTGCCTTCCTTTTTACAATGAAATGCACTGAACTTGAAGTGAAATCACAAGTCAAACCGCGAAAAATCAAAATTGAGCGTGAACAAAAAAAAAATTTCAGGAGACCTATATAAGAGTACTCACTACGTTCATTACTCTTAATTGCAACAAAAGCCCAAAAAATCCGGAACAAAAATGCCTGCACCATTAGAAACTCTACAAAAGCTTGGTGAATCCTTCAAAGAAAGCAAACTTTCAAGAAAAAGTCCTTTCTGCGGAACTAAGGAGACAAAAAAGCAGACAGACAATAATCTACATTAGCCAAAAGTTTCTATTTGCAAAACAAACAGCTCTCAATTAGGAATCGAACTCCCAGCCTTTGCCGTCTCAAGCATGAGGGTTACAGCAACTTGGAATAAAGCTGAACCATCGATCTACGGGAATCAAGTCGACAAAAATAAACAGACGGAGAATAGCCCGAAGAAGTACAAAAATTCTTGTTTAAAAAAGGGCCAGGCCGGATTCGAACAGGAAGCCTTTGCCATTTAAAGCTGTTATTTCACCTCTACGCCAGATGCACCGGATGGTTGATTCGATTTAAATTTATAATAATCAAGCAGTAACGAAGCCGAAAATACCTGACAGAAGCCCTTCATTCCGAAAAAAATCTAAAAATCTAAAAAATATTTAACTCCCTTTCCGTTCAGAATACACACACGCACACAAAAACGTGAAAAACAAATTTCGCTTCGGCCGAATTTTAAACTGCAGTGAGAATTGTTTACAGCGAAAATAAACGTTTCTTAGATGTGGCAACTAAGCCGGCAAAACATAAGCAGACAAATATCAGGCCGAAATATTGTTGATCCGGAATATATACCGTTTGAAAAAAAACTGGTCCTGGTCAGATTCGCACACAGGACCTTTGCAGTCCCAGGTGTATTCGTTACCACCAGGCTAAGTGTGCAAAAGACACTAAAAAATATGAATTCATTATGAAGCAAGGTACATCAGGAGTTCAATGCGTCCTGTGGACAAAGTTGCTTACGGGAAAAAAGTCTAGTACGCAATTGTAATACCTTTGTTTATCGCAAAGGTAAATAATAGTTAAAACTTGCACCATGTTTCACATTATCATTTCTCAAAAAAATTCTCGCTTAATGTCAATGCAAGTCTTCAAAACCTTTTGTTACCCATCAGAGAAACTACCTGGAGTTTATATAATCCCAACAAAAATCGTGCATTGTTCCTCGACTAAGAATCGTGCAAAATCTGGAAAAATATTATACTAAAAAATTTGAGCTTCTCCCACCTGACATGGAATACATTCTTAGTCCTCTGAATGTAGAGCAGTATGTCCGTGAAACATTTGATTGAATCGCTGTATCGTCTCATCATGAGATACGCAAATCCAACGTAGTAATACATGGTGATCTGACAGCTTGGAACAGGAGACCACGTCATACCTAGAAAAAAAATTATGTTCCGACCACTTCACGTATATAATTACATCTCATTCGCGCAGTTTTTACCAAATTTAGTCTCCCTGTGCTCAACAAAAAAAATCAGAAAGAAATTAATGAGACTTTTTCCAAAAACTCTCAAGAATTCAGATGTTTCCATTAAAAAATCTTCTCAATTCTGTCAGGGTTTAATTTTTCTGAACTGCACTAGTATTAAAACAAAAACATATGGTTTGCAAGCCCTTTGAATTCAAGAACAGTTGATGATTGAAACTTTTTTGATGAAACTAACTCAATTAGAGAGAACTGGATAAATAGTTTAAGTTGTTATTCCGTTGGGAAAATTAGAATCGAATTTCGATATTAGAAATCGTCACGTTCTTCGTGACCTTTACACGTTTGGGGATCGATAGTGGAGTTTGCCTTCCTTTCAACAAGTCTGAATGCTGTTAGAATGCGAAAATTGCCTTCCGTGTGCTGTTTGATAGAGTTTGCCGTCCTTTTAACAAAGGATATTAATTGAAATTGAAATCACAGGTCGAACCGCAAAAAAAATCGAATTTTAAAACTTAAAAAAATCATATCGACCTATAGAAGTCTTCACGACTTTCAATTATCTTACCTTTCTTGTGCAGCTGAATATTGTCGACTACAGTCACAGCCAAATAGTAATCTCCTATGAGACACTGTAGTCTGCACAAACCGACGAGAGCAAAGAATCCGAGGAACTTGTAGAGAGGATGTCCTCCGAACTTGCCCGCGATCTCGTCTATTCTCTCCTGCGCAATGCCACTGTTGTATGCACTCAGCTGCTCATTTATTCTACTCTTCGCGATCAGAGAGTACATCACATTCAACACACTGTGGATGTTCCACACTCCCTGATTCTTGTCCAACTTTGCCAACTCTTCTTTAGACTTGTTACTCAATCTCGATCTAAATACCCAGCAAAATATTCAGCTAAAAAATCCGTTGAAGTTCTTTCAATTCGAGAAGATTTATCATTAAAAGTTTATTTTATAAACACGGTGTCATTCTAATGAAGAATTTTTTCTAACGGAGAGTCGACTGAATCTTGAAAAGCGAGTAGAACAAAGCGATTCGCAGATTGAAAAATGATACTCGCCTAAAATGCGCAAACTGTTGGAACTGATAAATGAATTCGTCAATGATGTCCCACAGCCAGAGATTAGGCAACTCCAGTCGTATGGGTTCGTCCTCCGGTTGAAGCATCATATTAAAGAGAGCGCAGTAGTTGTAGTAAGACTCAAATCGCTGATTCAAGTTAGGGCCCTGGGGAACCGATGCATAAATATGTCGATAGTAAAGTTCCCTGTACAGCATCAAGAACACCTAAACAGAAGAAAGTTCACGTGAACAGAAGATCGGTGCTATATCAACCAGCCGAAATATAAATCAACCGAAAAAAAACCAGCCGAAAATACGGACAGTTAGTGTAGTAGTAGTTATACCCGTAATGGCGGTAACGTTAATGAAGTATTTGCGCAGCCACTCTTTCGGGAAGTACGAGAAAGTGAAAATATACGTCCAATAAGAATTACAATTGTAACACCTCTCCAATTACACTACAAAACAAGGACAGCCGATTGCTAACTTTTTTTTTGAAATTATACTCGTTTTTTCTGCGTGATGTGATGAAAGGATCTGAACGAAAAACAAGGGCCTAGGCATAATCGTAAGTCATAGTAAAAACTTAGCCAATCGAAGATTGGAAAAGATTAATGAACGCAAATAACATTTAAAAAAAAACACTGACTTTGTTGAAAAAATCTCAACTTTCGAGTTTCAAAGAAAAAATAGATGCTCTTTAAGCTCTTTGAATCAGCAAGACCTTTGAATCAGCAAGACCTATATAAGAGTCTTCACTACGTTCATTACTCTTAATAAGCAAATTGGAAAACAATTTTTGTAGAAAACAGACTTTTTTTTACAGTTTTTTGAATTTAAGCTTTTTGTTTCCAAAAGGTGCCAAAACACTCTAACAAGCTAACTTTCGTTGAGTAAAACTAAATTTTTACGGCTTAAACTAAGCAGTATAACGTTTCAAGCTATTAAAATAATTATTTGTTAGCCCCGCTCGCTCACTCGAAATTAGACTGAGAGTCAAAATTTCATACCGGTTTTTCTTGACAATGCGCACGTTTTTGGAAAATTTTAAAAAACCGTTCGAATCACGACTAAAACGGCTTTGAAATGATATATCACTCAACTCTCTCCAATTATTAGTGGTAGCTGATTTTGTGTGGAATACAAAAAGAAAAAATTGAAATACATCCGAATACGAAGTTCCTTCCCATTTTTCAAGTATTTGGCCGGAGTATTTTGACGAGAAATAAAAAAAATGAGAACATAGAAAATGAGCCATTAAATAAACCTCGATGCGGCAATTATAGGCAAATTATTCGTACTTTACCTTTTTAATGCCTAAAACAAGCTAAGTTGCACATCGCACTCATATTAACAAAAAATATTACACATAACTAACTAGTGCAAAAGAAGACTTCAGATGCTTTCAGAGCTGTTTTGGAGATACTTGTTTGATAAAAGTGTAATGCATAATTTTAGTATGTGAAAATGCTATTCACTGCTCTTTAGATTGATCCCATCTCAGAATTGGCAGCGTTGTTTTTGAAAGAAGTCATTATTTCTCAAAAAAATATACATTCCCTAACTCCAGAACGGTCTCTTTGCTAAACTTATGAGTAACCACTAAAGCAAGGGAAAATCCTCTAGCCCCTTTAATTGAATAAACCCTCAATGAATATTTCCCAAGCCCAGGAAGACTTTTTATGAATAAAAAAAAATAGCACGTAGCCTTTTGAGCCATTAATATTCACATAATCTGTTATTTCGATAGAATCTCACATTTGGGAGGAAGGTTTTCAAGAAAATTCCACAAGTTTCCAAAAAAACTTCCATAATTTCAAACAATGGACTTTCTTTAATCCAAAACGGTTTTTACTAAATATAGAGCGTAGATTCTTGGGCAGCAAAAGTTCACGCAACTTTTTCTTTTGATTGAACCCTTGATCTCAGTAATGACAGGATAGTTTTCTAGACAATTTTTCGACAAATGTAAGGGCGTAGCCGCTTCGGCAAATAATATTTCAACAACCTCATATTTCGATTGAATCATTAACATCAGAACTGGTATTTTCAAAACTAAAAATTCTCAGTCCATAGCTTTTTGTGTAAAAAAGAATCCTAGCCGCTGATGTAGGACAGCTTCTTACAAAGTTTGGCTTCATTTGAACCCGTACTTTCATTTCATCAGGGTAATTTTCTAGAAAAAAAACTCGTCTCAAAAAATATAAAACATAGCCAAATGACAGTAGGAAAAGTAATGATTGCAGGGAAACAGAAAAAAACTGACTTGTTTTTTTGAAAACTTCTATTTTCAATTTTAAGGAAAACAAACATATGCCCTCAAATCTCTTTGAACTTCAAAAACATTTATTATTGGTGCTTTTCAGATAACCATAATCACTGTGGAAAAATTGGATCTATAGGTAAAATTTTTATTCCGCTAGCAAATCTGAAAATTAAATTCCACTTTCGGCACTAGAAGTCGTTCACGTTTTTCGTGTCATTTGCATATTCGTATTTGGAAAGCGCAGTTTACTTAACTTTCAGCGGATGAATTTCAATCGAACTCAAAAAATGCATATAATCTAAGTACATTCATCAATGCATTAATATGTATGAATGTGCATGTGTAGTTATTCGAGCATTTTAAGGCTTTTCCTGAAAAAAAAATTGAACAAAAAATCACCAAGACCTATATAAGAGTCTTCACCACGTTCATTCCTCTTAAACATAGCCAAAAGACAGTTGGAAACAAATCAATGACGATTGTAAACAGAAAACGATAACTTTCTTTGAAAAGGTCAACTTTCGAATTTCAAATTAAAAACATATGCCCATAAAGTTGAAGAACAATCAATGATTGAGACTTTTCAAAAATCAAACAATTTATGACTGACTCTCTGAACCTCAAGACCAATTTATGATTGACACTTTTTTTGTTAAAATCTAACCAATTTGAAAACTGCATAAATGGGCAGTCTTTTTTTACTGCGCTTGGAAACTGAAAATTCAAATTCATTTTCGAAACTAAAAGACAATCATGTTTTTCATAAACTTTACACTTTTGCTGTCAGATAGTGGAGCTTGACTTCCTTTAAGCAGAGGTCTGAACTTAAAAGAAATCAAAGCCAACATACAGTAAAACAGACAAAAAAACTGATTATTTTTTGAAAACAAGGCCAACAGAAAGTTGGAAAAGAGTCAAAAAGCACATTAAACAGAAAACAATGACATTTTTTGAAAAAAAAACTCAACTTTCGAAAATCTGTATCACTGATACTTTTTTGATCAAACTAACCCAATTTGAGTAAACTGGATCAATAGATAAATTTTTTACCGGAGAATTCGCTTTTCGAAACTAGAAGTCGATCATACTTTTCGTAACCTTTACACTTTTTGCTGTTCGATTATGGAGAGTGCCTTCCTTTCAACAAAGAAAATGAACTGAACTTCAGAAATCAAAAGTCAAACCGCGAAAAAAAAATTGACTGAAGAAATTAAGATTATTTCATGAAAACAAAACGAAAAAAAAACATCATGACGACCAATGCAAAACATCATGACGACCAATTCGGAACTACGTTTATCAATTTTAAAAAAAAAAAATTCAAAGCCTATACATTTTGATAATACATGCTCATGAGGAAATTAGATCATATTTGGATTGCTTTGCCGCTCACGCGTTTATAGATCAAATATACTCATTTGAATTATCCCAAATCGGCCACTTTCCACCCTCATAGGTCTTTATGAAAAATGATCGTTGGTGAAACATCTTTTTGATTATGCTTTCAGCGTACTTTTCAGATAGTTTACAAAAAATCGTCTAGTTAACGGCTAGTTAAAAGTTCGCAACTATTCCGAGCAAAAAACACAATTATTTAGGACTATTCTTCGACAGTTGGTACCTTTATTCTGTTAGTCAATGAAAATACAGATTTGAAGATGACCACCGATAAGAGTCATTCATTAAGAGTCACCACTAATAAGGACCATCCAATAAGAAAACGATCAATAGTTGCACTTTTTAAGCCCCGTTTGTTTTATTAGGTTTCTCAGTTTCGTTATTAGAGAGCGCAATTTGCCTTCCTTTTAGCACATGATTTTGAATATAGCTAAAAAAAATCAAAGTCAAAGTGCAAAAATCACTTTTGGTGTGAACAACATAATTCTCTGAAAAAAAAACATTATCTCGACCTATAAAGGTCCTCAGGGTTTTCACTGACATTGGAACAAGCAAACATAAAAAAGGAAATAAACACTTTAGAATATTATTGACAAAATCTAGAATATAATATAAAGCATAAAAAACTCGAATTTATATTTTAAAAATTTGGTTGATAAAAAAATGATAAAAAAACTTTTACATTGAAAATGGTAAAAAAACCTTTACATTTTCTTTATGCCAACAGCTCCCGGCTGTTTTGCAAGCATACACGTAGCACTAAATGTTCCGAAATTCCAAAAACAGATCACGCAGAGGCGAAGCAGAGCTTTGCATCTATTGCGCTACAACACAAACATAAAAAACATTAATTGAAAATGGAAAAAATGAAGGAAAAAAAAACTAGTTCTGCCAAAATTTAAACTTTTGTAAGTCTCGGTAAGCTTCATTTAGGCAAAGATTCCAGACATATGACACGGAAGCGAAGCAACATGAAAATAGCAGTGCAAGCTAGCAGACAGAAAAAGAAAGCCACTCAGCCCAAAAAATTGAAGAAAAAAAATTCAAAACAAATCATTTTCTCTTTGCAGAAAACACCTCTTGAAACACAATCGACAGCGATTCATGGAAATTCAAAAAATAATCAACAAGCGGCAACTTTATGGAAAACTTTGAACTATCAATTCTATTCTAAGAACTTCAGCATTTTGTGCAATCCGGAATGAAGCATAAAACGTATGCTTCCCTTAAAAATAGGTTAATTTTAATTCGAATGCAATCATATTAACTCTTAAAAACAATTGCATAATCACAAAGACTTGAACCAAAGATTTCAATCATATAAAGAAAAAATCAATTAAAAGAAAAAAAACACTAACATAACGCACAAGTGTGTCATGCAATTAAATCAAAAATGGTTAATCACCAAAAGACTAAAATGTCATTTCAAATGCAGGGAATGTTAAAAAGTCTGGAATGATCAAGAAGTCTGGCGTTGATGTGGCCGCGGAATTAGGTAAGAATGAGTTCGAGAATGAAATCATTATTGACAATGGGGTTGTTCAGAGGTCTGGGACGGTTG